GAATGGCCGCTATATACAGGGTGGTCTGTATAGACAGGTGTATGTATCACACAGCTGATAACAGGGTTGTCTAGAGTGGCCGCTATAGACAAGGTGGTCTGTATAGACAGGTGTATGTATCACACAGCTGATAACAGGGTTGTCTAGAGTGACCGCTATAGACCGGGTGACCTGTATAGACAGGTGGATGTAACACACTGCTGATAACAGGGTTGTCTAGAATGGCCGCTATAGACAGGTGTATGTATCACACAGCTGATAACAGGGTTGTCTAGAGGGGGGCAGGGAGGACACGTGTTCGCCGGCAGCCAATGGGCGCGCATTCTATCCATGAGCTTCACACAGACAGAATAAGGCAATTATATATATAGATATATTTCATTTCTCTTCTTCCTTTGGCACCAGTCTCCTTAGCGGGACCCGCGTTGGGCACCAGTTGGGGTGGAATACAACTCCCTACTCTCCCTATAGGCGCAGCGTGCCAAGACGTTCCCTTCTCCTTTTTATGTTTTTAGTTGTTTCCCAAGATGTGATACTTCCACGTTTTCCATTTATTTTGTATTTAGCTCTATTTATTAAATATATTTTATAGTTTATTTTTAATTATTTTAATTGCTAACAAGGTTCACAATGAACTATATGTAAATAGAGAAATTTATGTTGGTACACAGGTACACAGAGTAGGAAGAAGGAAGCAGTGATGACCTCATCGGCTAGAATGAACTTCCTGTGAATGACATCAGATTTGGAATAAGAGACAGGCGTTCTACCGTATCATCTAGCAGTTAACATCTTTGTCGATTCTTGACAATGACAATTAAAATAATTTTATTGAAATTGTTGCACTGGGCTGCGGTTTGGCAGATTCTTCAGTCTTGAGTCTCTCCTCAGACGTGTCTTGCATCTTTCCAGAACGTGTCTCAACCATCTTACAAGGTTAAACCAGTCAATAATAAGACACATATAAATTTAGGTAGCACCTAGAATCTCTCTTTATTTACCACATCAAAGTTTAAAGCATGTAGGGTATTTAGTGTATCAAAATACAAATGTTTTATAGTACATAATATTTTATATTAATATTCTGTTTTATAAAAATAAATAAATTTATAATTTAAATTTTAAATATATTAAAAATAATATTATAAATAATTTTAAAAATAGGCGCATTAATCATGATGCAACAATATCTTGTCAATACATGAAAAAGTGCACAGTCTGCATTATTGAAAAAGATAATTATATATATGCATCATACTATGTATAAAGAACATGGCACCTCTGCCATCACTGCAGAGTTTAATGGAGAATCGCCAGCGGGTCTCCAGCGACACCATGTAATTCGTGATCTACGAAGAAAACGTAGATCGCGTACTTCACCTCTGAGGAGATGGTGATGGCGTGGTCCTCGAGACCAACTGGAAACTTTCGATTCTTGAAGAACCAACTTTCCTCTAGTCAGCACACTATCATTACTCCATCAGAATGTAGTCCAGCAGCGATGAAATCATGGGAGGTTGAAAGCAAGAGCCACGCTGAAGGCATCATTCCCACATTTCTTTTATAACTCTAGTTGCGATCAGGTCTTGTGTAGTCTTTAGAGTTTAGTTTAGATATGTTTCAAGCCGTCTATTTTTCAGCATTTACAATTCACGATCAAAGCCCGCATTGGGCACTTCTTCTAAAGAAAAAAAAAATGCTTCAATGGTCTCCGATTCCTGAAAAATCCATTCCTTCCTATGAGTGAAAGTAATCAACAGTAAAAATGAATTGCTAACTACCCACCATGATTATCATAGCTTCTACCATGTTTACTTGAAAAAAAGGCTTTTGTTAAGTTATCTGGTGTACTAGCTGGAAGCTGGCACCAATGTTGTTACGTGCCTAGACAATCCCAAAAATTTCCATTCCGTATAGCAGATGGTAGAGACGCTGTTGAGATGGATTTGCTTACCTACATGAAAAACCAGTTCAAAATAAAATTGTATTGGAATTAAGTTAATTATATGATAAAAAAAAGCACCGTGTAAATTGAAATTGCTGTCGGAGTAAATATCAATCAATCGTCAATTTTTAATTATTCCTGGGGATATTGGTTAAATACCCATTTTTGGTAAATTAAGAAAAACAAACCATGTACCTGTTTCAGGCTGTTGAACCTCGTCAGCATGGTGCAGGCTGAACCACAAATAACAAAATTATAAGCCTTTTTTGGTCTTTAAGGTACAACCTACACCACGTTCACAATGGCCAACGTACATGGTTGGCTCTTTTTGATTAATCAAGAAAGGTTATATTTGGTCAATATTATTGATTAATTAAAATTATTATAGTATGGGGGGGATCGGTGGAAGGATGGTCTAAACCGATGGTTTTCGACCAATAGGACCCGGGTTCGATTCCTGCATTGAACACTTTTTTCTGATTAAAAAAAAAGAATTCTTCAATGGCCCCCGATTCTTGCGAAAGTCCAACACCACCAGCGAGTGTAAGTAATCAAACGGGGCTATGTCACATTTGTAAGTACAAAGTCAAACTGCTTTTCACATGTGTAGATATATGGTGCACTTACAGTAAAAGCAGTCGCCTACTTCTACCCACCATGATTACCACGGCCTGTACCACGTCTACTAGGGATAAGCAAAAAAAAAAACTATTATAGTTTATATTTAGTTATTTAGGTTAAAAAAAGACCTATATTGGATTGAATAAAATATTTATTTGCCAATATTTCGGTTGGCTGAATGCCAACCTTTGTCAAGGCATTTAAATATGGATTTCTCTATTTTCAGACCGATATTTTGTTATATAGATGGCGCAAGCCATCAGCAATTTCGGTTGTACGATCAAGAGATGCATTTTCTAAATATGTCTAATTAGTTGTAAGGACAATGTCTCTTCCCCGCCTTACTTGTTTCAGCCAAACAGATGTTATTTGGAAAAAGGAATAATTCAGAATCTTTTGCAACTCTGCCTTTGCCGGTCCCAAGCCCGGATGAAAAAGGAGGAAGGGGAGCAGTAACAAGCTCGCTAAAAAACCTGGGTTCATCTGGCTCCGCTGATAGTACTCTGTAAGGGCTACGGGGATACAGGATGAGCAGCATTTGTACTCCATGTTAGAAGCGGCTGCACATGGCGTCTGTTTCTCATGTCAGAGGCGGCCATTTCTTTTGGAGCTAAGTCGGCCTGCCACTGAGTAGTGCTCCCAGTCTTAATGACAAAGGCAGACGCATTCTACTTCACCCAGTCATGGTGGTTGTCAAAGCAGACACTCCTCCCAGCCCCCTTCAAAGTACAGGAGCAGTCTACTCTGTCTCATGTGAGCAGTGCTCTGCCACATATGTGGGTGAGACAGGTAGAACTGTGGCCATCAGAATGACAGAGCATTCCCGTTATATAACCAACAAAGACCCCAAATCCCTCATCCACCAACATATAGCATCTACAGGACACACATTCGATATTAACCATCCAGTAATCCACTATAGACATATCCACAACCAACACCAACGATTGGTGTTGGAATCCATAGTCTCACACAAACACAATAGCATTAATAGAAAGATCGAAATTCCCGACATCTATGGTGTTTTCTTGGCTGAAACATCTGTAACATCTTAGTTTTCATAAAATATTAAATATACAATAGTTCCCGTCATTAAGTTAATAATTGAAATAATAGTTAGATATTTGCATTTCTTTGGTTTAGCTTACTATACTAATTTTACAGCAAAATTCTTGCAAATATGTTAAACACTAGCATATATCAATATTCGCTCCTACCTACCATTTGTATCTTTGCGCGTATTCATAATTGCCTGTAGAAGGGCGTTCGTCCCGAAAGCTTGCATTTCGTTTAATTAAAAGAAACTTATCTTACCTCACGTGTTGTCCATCTTTATAATGAAAATTTATCTTGAGGCTCAAAAGTGTATAATAAAATGATTAAAATATAAATATATAATTTATTAATTATTTTTTTTTAATAATATAAAACATGGCTTTTAGGCATTTATATTTCAATGACATTGATTCTTATTGGGAACGGTCAAATCTCTATCTAATTTGATTGTCGAGTTGCAAAATAAAAAAAAAAAGGATAGGAAAAATAAAATGAATCTGTCTTGAAGGGAATTTTTTCTTGGAAAAAATGAGAACACACACCAAAGGTGTTCTTGATTGGATTTCGTAAAAAAATCTTTCTTACCAAGTTTTTTTTTCAATCAATCAATGCTTTATCAAGACCTTTAGTCTTATGTTTTTCTTTTAAATTCAACCGTGAGCTTTCAAACTCTATCTTCCAACAGACAAACGATGACGTTTTCTCTTAATATCGTTTTTTTTCTGTTGAAGACCGAAATTTCGAAAGCTCGCGATTAAATTTAATAAGCTTAGTGAGAAAGGGTTTATCTTTTTCTATATAATTTGTATCACACTTTCTTATATTGAGAATTTAATTCAGCCTAGAAATATATGTACAAATACAAATACAGCTTTGGTATTTTTGATCGATGTTGTGACTATTTTCGTGAGTCCTCAAGAAATAAAATACAGCGATGGGTTTTTATACAAATTTGGAAAAGGGAAAATAGCAGTTTTGTATCTGGCATTTTGATGGATTTAACAATAGTCAACTGGTATATGTTTTTACTGACCGACGTCTCGGTGACCTACTTTGACCATTTTCAATGTAAAACACACTAAAACTAGGTCGGGAATACACAAAATCTCGGTCTGGCTAACGTCTCCGCGACCTTCTATCATCATTTTCAAAGTAAAAATTACTAAAACTAGAGGTCGTGAATAGACAAAATTTCGGCCTTTTTACAGTACGTTTTTACTGACCGATGTCTCGATGACCTGCTATCACCATTTTCAATGTAAAACTTACTAAAACTAGGCCGAGAATAGACAAAATCTCGGTCTGGCTACAATACGTTTTACATTGAAGATGGTGATTATAGGTCGCCAAAAGATCAGTTAGTAAAAACGTACCAGTTGACCAGTGTTTGACCCAGACGGTCGGTGGAAGGATGGTTGGTTTTCGATCACTACGTCCCGGGTTCGATTCCTGCATTGGGCACTTTTTCTAATAAAAAAATGCTCCAATGGCCCCCGAATCTTGCAAAAAGTCCAAACCCATCAGCAAGGGAAAGTAATCAAGCGGGGCTCTGGCACATTTGTAAGTGCAAAGTCGAACTGCTTTTCACATGTGTAGACATGTGGTGTACTTACAGAAAAGCAGTCGCTAACTACCCACCATGATTATCATGGCCTGTACCACGTGTACTAGGGATAATAAAAAAATGTCCATCAATTTTAATTAGAGAACTTAGCTAGCTCTATGTGATCGAATGTTAAATTTGATAAGGCATACAACTTTTTTTTATATTATCCCTAGTACACGTGGTACAGGTCATGGTATTTATCATGATGGGTAGTAGTTGAAGATTGCTTTTATTGTAAGTGAATCACAGTATTTGGTCCCTCCGATGGCCCCCGATCCTTACAAAAGTCCAACCCCACCATTGAGTGCAAGTTACCAAACGGGATATTGACACATTGGTGAGCGCAAAAGTCGAACTTCTTAGTTGTTGTCGTGTCCAATGAAGAGCCTCAGATGTCTCCATACATCTCTTTCACAGCAACAGCAATGTCCACTATCTTGGGTGTGTAAAGCTGCTGTTCTGGGTCCATGTCAATTTTCTGTTGTTGTTGTGTCCAATGAAGAGCCTCAGATGTCTCCATGCATCTCTTTCACAGCAGCAATGTCCACTATCTTGGGTGTGTAAAGCTGCTACTCTGGGTCAATTTTCTGCAAGGCTGTGGCCATAGCTAGACAAGAGAATATGTGGGTAGGTGTTAGTTCCACACCAGGACAGTAGTTGCATTTCATTGGAAAATGGGTGCCGTTGCCACGTTAGTCACCTTGGAAACGAACCAGAATTTGGTCGAATATTCCTAGGATCCAGGGGGACCGCAGGGAGGTGTGGTCGGATTTCTCCCCCCATGTCATATACACATGTTGAAAGAAGTTTGACTTTTGCACTTACAAATGTGGCAGTGTCACGTTTGGTTACTTGCGCTAAAGGGTGGGGTTAGACTATTATAAAGATTGGGGGGCCATTGGAGCAATTCTGTGCCAGAAAAAGTAACCAATGCGGGATTCGATACCGTCGTGGCTGTCTGAATTCTACGGTCTATACCTCTCCTCTGCCGATTACCAGATGAAATAACTCATGGATAACATTTAAGGAAATGGATTCGGTTCCAAAATCACTTTATTAGATATCGCTCAACAAGAGCAACCTAATATATTGTAGCGTAGAAATCAAGCCTTGAAATATCCTAAGATGTAAAAGTATTTATTGATGACGTCACGGCGACAAGTCGACAATTATTAACAAGTCAGCAAAAACTATTTACAGCTAGAGAATCTTGAGCAAGCAAGCAAAGAGATATTTTGATAATTATTTTACATAAAAGATTAATATATATTTATATAATCTGTTGAATAGTTTCATTGAATAATTTAATTAATAAATTATTTCTTCGTCACATAGCCTCCTCCTATAAAGAGCATCGACCCGATGCTCAGAAGGAGACTTACATCCTCAGTCTCAAGGCTCGAGAACGGGTTATAGGGCCTGAGATCTCTACGCGGGTCTGTGGTTGTTGTGTTCGTTCAGTGGGGATGTCTTCTTCCTGGAAGTTTGTCGAGTCATCTTCTGGGTCCTCTTCTAGGTGGTCCTCCTGGTCCTCTGGGTTTAAATATGGTTTCATCCTACAAATGTGAACTAAATCTTTTGTTTTACGCCGACCTTGCTGGTTTCCGAATGTTTCAACTTCATAGGTCACATCAGATATTTTTCGGGTTACTTTGTATGGGCCGAAGTAACGTCTCATTAGTTTCTCCGAATATCCCACTTTACGCACAGGGATAAAGATCCATACAAGATCTCCAGGATGATAAATTATATTTCTGTGATGGGCGTCATAGCGTTGTTTATTGCTATCTTGAGATCTCATGGAGTGGATACGTGCCAGTTTTCGTGCTTCTTCGGCTCTTGCCCCTAGAGTTTGGATGAAATCGTCGTCTTCTGGCAATAACTTGGGGAATAACACGTCCAGTGGAGTCTCGGCTTCACGCCCGTGTACAAGGAAAAATGGGGTGAACCCAGTTGACTCTTGTTTTGCTGTGTTGTATGCAAATGTAACGAATGGAAGAATCCTGTCCCAATCTTTTTTGTTGACATCTACATACATGGACAGCATGTCTGCTATGGTCTTATTCAACCTCTCCGTGAGGCCGTTTGTCTGGGGGTGATAGGCGGTCGTCTTCCGATGGGTTATTCTGCACTGGTTGTTCAGATCACTTATCATTGAAGATGTGAAGTTCCTTCCTCTATCCGTGATTAATTCCCTCGGCGCGCCGTGCTTTAAGATGACATCTTCAATGAAGAATTTGGCAACTTCCATGGATTCACTTGTGGGTAGGGCTTTAGTTATCGCATATTTCGTTAGGTAGTCCGTACATACAATAATCCAACGGTTGCCACCTTCTGATGTTGGAAATCTCCCCAGGAGATCCATTCCTACCTTTTCAAAAGCAACTTCAGGAACAGGTATTGGCTGTAAGTGCCCTGAGGGGAGTTGGGGCTGATGTTTACGCCTCTGACAATCTGAACAGTGTGCCACATACTTTCTAACCGTTCTATACATTCCGGGCCAGTAATACTTTTTTCTTATTCGGTCATAGGTTTTAGTAAATCCGAGGTGACCAGCAGTGGGTGAATCATGGAAATTTTTCAGTAATTCCTGCCTTAAATGGCGTGGAACCACCAAAAGCCATGGTTTCCCCATTGGATCATAATTTTTTCTGTAGAGCGTGTTATCGATTTTTACAAAGGTATTATTAGGAGTACTTTGTAATTGGTCAGCAATTTTTCTAAGAGCTTGATCATTCATCTGCTCTTCGCTAAAGTTCTGCAAAGTCACTATGCTTGGAATATCTTCCTCCATATCTTCACTGTATTCTAATGGACTTCTTGATAAGCAGTCTGCGTCCTGATGTTTCCTTCCGCTCTTATACACGACAGTGACGTCAAACTCTTGCAGCCGAAGTGCCCATCTTGCTAACCTCCCACATGGGTCTTTGAGGTTGGTCAGCCAGCACAAAGAGTGGTGGTCTGTAACAATAGTGAACGGCTGTCCAAAGACATATGGTCGGAATTTATTGATAGCCCAAATGATGGCAAGGCATTCCCTTTCTGTGGTTGAATATTTTTTTTCTGCCTTATTTAAGGTTCTGGATGCATAAGCAATGGCTCTTTCCTTTCCCTTTTGTATCTGCACTAATACTGCTCCTATTCCGTAGTTGCTTGCGTCAGTGTGTATTTCGGTTGGGGATGAGTAATCAAAATGTCCAAGAGCGGGTTCGGAAATTAACGCTGACTTGAGAGCTTCAAATGCATTTTGCTCTTCCTGGTTCCAATTAAATGCTGAGTCTTTCTTCAAAAGGTCATTCAAGGGTTGGGCTACGTGGGCATAATTGGGTATGAAGCGGCGGTAGTAGGATGAAAGGCCTAGAAAACTTCTAACTTCCTTCAATGACCTTGGCGTAGCGAAGTCGCGGACTGCTCGAATCTTTTCTTGGTCGGGACGAATTCCATTTTCACTCACCTCATGTCCAAGAACCGTGATAGTTTTTGCACCAAACTTGCATTTCTTGGAATTGAGACATAATCCGGCTTTCTTAAGGCAATTTAATAAAAGTTGAAGGCGTCTTAGATGTTCTTCAAAGCCATCTGAAAAAACGATGATGTCATCGAGGTAACACAAGCAAATAGTCCACTTAAGACCCTTCAGAAGATTATCGATCATTCGTTCGAAGGTAGCTGGAGCATTACATAACCCAAATGGCATTACTTTGAACTCGTACAGTCCATCTGGAGTTATAAATGCTGTCTTCTCACGGTCCGATTCTTCTACGTCGATTTGCCAGTACCCTGATTGGAGGTCCATGGAAGAATAAAATCTAGCTCCCCGTAAGCAGTCTAAAGTGTCGTCGATCCTTGGGAGAGGGTAGACATCCTTTTTTGTTATTTTGTTAAGGCGGCGGTAATCGACGCAGAATCTCCAGCTTCCATCCTTTTTTCTTATCAATACTACAGGTGAGGCCCACGGACTTTCAGAGGGCTGAATGATGTCAAGTTTTTCCATCTTGTTTACCTCATCCTGAATAATTTGGCGTTCTCTTGGTGCAACTCGGTAAGGTCTTTGTTTGGTCGGTAGGTGGTCTCCAGTGTTAATTCGGTGTTTAGCATTGACGTCCTTGATTTGTTTTCTTTTATTAAATTCGAAAATATCTGTATAGTTTTTTAACAAATTTCTTAATTTTTCTTTTTGAGATTCATCAAGCGAATCATCTATAAAAAATTCCGAGGTTTTTGGGTCTTCAGAATGTTCCGCCTCTGTTTCAACTTGGTTACAATCGGCTAGAGTACATAATTGACTATCTTCGATGACAGCACTATCGGCTACATGCATCCCCTGTGGGATTAGTTTCGGATATGGACTCCAATTCACCACCCAAAGTTTACCTCGGTTATTGGTAAGTGAAATGACAGAGGAGGGAGCCGTTAGTTCTCTTTCCAGCAATAGCTCTTTTCGACATTCTGCCACCACAATTGCGTCATTAGGAATGTCACGACTTGCTACTTCTATTAACTGAATAGAGGCGGGTTCGATTCTATATTCCAATTCCGAGTAGAGAGGTGAGCTGTTCTTAGGGGTATCCTCAAAAAGACATTTTTCTAAGAAGAGTGTGTCGTCAGCTGAATCAATTATCGCCCTAGATAACTTCAAAAAGTCCCAACCAAGAATAACTTCGTGACTACAGTCTTCCATAACGACAAATTCAAAGCTTTCCTGTAGTCCATTCAAGTCCAGTTTCAGTGTGCAGCGTCCTTTTGGTCTTACAATTTTACCGTTGGCTACTCGTAATGTGACGTCAGTTTCGGCAAACATTATTTTTTTTAGTTTGAGTCTGAACCTCTCAGAAATGACAGAATATGAGGCTCCTGAGTCGACGAGGGCACGCGTCATTTTTCCTTCTATTTTAATGTCTATGTAATTTTCTTTTAATTCTAATGTAGTCGATAAGGGAGGATTTATAAATTTTGCGGCCTTACCTCCAAAATAGGACGCATCTTCTAGTTTTCCTGACGGGAACGGCGAGGCGACTGGCTGGCTCTTCTATCAGGAGACGAATATTGTCCTTTTCGGCCAGTGTGAGGAGAGGGGCTTCGGTAGCGGCGTCTATTTTCTCTTGGCAGGTCGTCGTTGGGCTCTTGGCTGCTCCGAGAATTATAGAATGTTCTAGGCTCTAGCCTATCTCTCTGTTTGTAATTCCAAGTTTGTTCTCCTTCATATTCTCTCCTCCTGTCACGGCAGTAGAGCACGACGTGGCCAGGGCGTCCGCAGTGGAAACAGATTGGTTTACCTTCAGTGGTTCGCCATTCGTTGGTATCGCGTCTTCCGTTTACTTGTTTCGGCTGCTGCGGTCTAGGTTGAAAATTTCTGGGTTGGAACTCGTACCTAGGGCTTGGTAATGGTCTTTGCGCTCTATTTTGAGGGAAACTTCTAGAAATTGGCGCAATGGTTTTTTCAATTTCTTGCTGCACCATATGTTTAATTGCAGAAATTTCTGGTTCTTCTCGAGGAGAGGCTAATGCTCGCTGTACCTCCTCACGAACCATTTGCCTAATCATAGATCTGCCCTGTCATCATGATCACGGAGAGATGCCACATTTGGTAGGCGCTCGTATCTGGTTGGGGTAACTCGCCTACAACGGAGCGCCTCAACACGGCGACATTCTGTAATAAATTGCTCGGTGCTCTGTACATCCCTCGGTAGGAGTGCTTGATAAAGCTCCTCAGCTATCCCCTTCATGAGGTGGGAGATTTTATCTTCCTCGCTCATTTGAGGATCAACCTCTTTGCACAAGCACAGGACATCCTGGATGTAAAATTCGGTACTTTCACCTTTTAATTGTGCCCGTGTTCTAAGTTTCTTCTCCGCTTGCAATTTTGAATTTTCTTTTTTTCCGAACACATTCTCTAATTGAGATGTGAATTCCTTCCAAGTCTGTATGCTTTCTTCGTTGTTCTCGAACCATTTGAGAGCAGTTCCAGACAGATAAAAATAAACTTTAGTAAGACAAAGGGTTTCGTCCCAATGGTTGTACTTTGCCACACGTGCATACCCTTTTAACCATTTTTGAAGATCTTCACCATCCTCCCCGGAGAAAATGGAAGGGTTCCTTGGCAAATGTTGAACAACGTAGTTGCTTACCTGAGCACCTTCCTTCTTTACATTCATAGAAGTTTCTTCTGGTTCAACAGAATCAATTTTTCTTTTATTTCTTAATGGGTATCGGTCCAGTCTCTCCACCAGTTGTAGCGTAGAAATCAAGCCTTGAAATATCCTAAGATGTAAAAGTATTTATTGATGACGTCACGGCGACAAGTCGACAATTATTAACAAGTCAGCAAAAACTATTTACAGCTAGAGAATCTTGAGCAAGCAAGCAAAGAGATATTTTGATAATTATTTTACATAAAAGATTAATATATATTTATATAATCTGTTGAATAGTTTCATTGAATAATTTAATTAATAAATTATTTCTTCGTCACAATATGATATTTGCAACAATAAATAATATATGAAGGTTATTCACTTATTAAAAAAATGTTAACGCGGAATTCAATCCCGGTTCATGGCTGTCGGGAATCGAGGGTGTTATCCACTCGTCCATTGACGTATTTTTTAAAAGAAATGGAACATCTTTGAAGTAACCTATCGTTAATTTTTTAAAATGAGACAATGGCAATTTTGTTCTCACTTGGTTATCTGGCGTGTCTTCAATAAAGGTCACTGTAATATCTTTCAGAGTTATTGTCTGAATCCCGATATACATACTAAAAGGTACAACTTCCTCAAATTTTGTCCATGAGTGTATTGTAAAAATGATAAATGGCCATAAATAAGGAATTGATATAATAAAGATGAGAAGGGGTTATAATAAAATAAATATGAATATATTTTCAGATAGAGAATGGACCTTTATATTTCATAAATCCTATATAGTTTATTATATGGTTAAATTCAAATAAGCGAGGTTACTTAGATCATTCTATTTGTCACGTGAAAATTTAAGGAAGACAAACGTATGGATAACAAGCCAATTTATTGTGATATAAACAATTCCAGAATATTATCCCTATAAATGAACTGAGAGAAAAAGACAAATACTTAAGACCATAAACTGTTGATTTAATAAAAATTATTCTCTTTCATACAATATAATATGATTAAATAAAATTATTATTCACACATAAATATGAATACATAATTATATATTTATAATTATATGTAATTCTGCTGTCCTAAAAGCTTATGTTCACAGTTCATCTAAAATACCCATTCGAAGAGTCAAGTATCAGTATCACTATAAAAGGAAGTTCCAAAAATGCAATATAACAGCGGTATGGTAGATTAAACTGGCGAAACCGCCGGGAGGGTTCACCACTGATGAGCCAGGCCCTCCCTTTAATTTTTCCATTGCAATAAGGGCAGTAGAAATTGTTTTATTTTAAAAAGAATATTACGCGTCTAAATTGTTTTGTAATTTGATAACAGATGGCGCGCTAGTGCATCGTAACATAAATATATATTTATAATATATAGGGATATGAAAAACACCCAGCAAAAACACTCTTGATCTCTTCCAGGTATCGAAACTAAATTTAAGTCGAAAATTACTGCCCTCTATCATCTTATTTTGGAACAAAATATTCCATTCTTATAGAATAACACCTTGGGGCTAATATGCAAATATATATGTAAATAAATAGATGGAGAATTTTCAAATAAATAACTTATATACATCAACACAACGCTATTTCTTAGATATTTTATCTCTGAATAGAATCGATGACATTTCTATTACCGTTATTATTTACAGAGTGGATATTTTTCAAATAGATTAATAGTCTTCAAATATTCTCTTTATTCTATGATTTATCATATGTATATTGAATAAATCCTTCTTGGTTCTTTAAATTAAAGATACTTCGGCCAGTAAATCTTTTTTTATTATCTCGAAGTTTCGACAAAAATATTTTGTCCTCGTCAGGAGCGAACAAAAATTAAAACATTTGGCAAAGTTCGCTCCTGACGAGGACAAAAGATTTTTGTAGAAACGTCGAGACAATAAAAAAGATTTACTGA